CTGAGCCCTTCCCGATAAAGTCTAACCCTTCTCTCACACACACACACACACACACACACACACGCACACACACACCTCCACATTCCCTCTTCACACACTTCTCTGGTATTTATTTTAAAAGGGATTCCCCTGAAGATGTAGATAATTCCTGGCTTTGCTTGTATGCTGGGAATTAGAATACTGGATTAACTTTTTTTTTTTAATGAAAAGAGAGAAGAAAAAAACAGGAAAAGGGGGAATGAAAGGAAAAAATAAAAAGAAATAAAAAGATAGCAAAGATGATTCCCCCCTCCTCCTCTGAGGGCTCTTTCCTTAGAAAACCCCCTTGACTTTCTCCAGGAATCTGCTGGAGATCAAGGAGATGTGGGTTTTTCTATCCACCTCCTCCCTGAGGGGTCTATAAGGACTGGCAATGGTCTCTGAAATCCTACCTATCCATCCCATAGTCACTTGGGTCCATGCCTTCCTTGCCTTGCCTTTGCTGTTTGATCTTTTGGGCCCCCAGCTTCCTCTGAGCTGTGTTAGTGTTTGTGCTCAGAAATCACCATAATCATGAAAATAATATACTGATAATAAATCTTTAACATACTACCTAAAGGGAACCTGCAATAATCTTGAGGGAAAAGAAAAGAAAAAAGAAAAAAATCCTAATACAGGAGGGAGAAAAAAAAGGGAAAAAAAGAAAAAAAGAAAAAAAGAAAGAAACCTCCAGCGTATTTTATCACTACCTATAGAAAGAAATCCTGCTTTGAGAGTATTTGTAATGCGGTTTTGTTGTTGTTTGTTGCTGCTTATTTCACTAAAAAAAAAAAAAATCCCAACAACTAAGACTGCCTAGCCCACCGGTCTTGTGCGCTTTTATTGTGCTTCTAACCCCAGTAGAGTAGAACTAAACTGCACTGAATGTATAGTTACTCTGTCTTGAATTCTCTGTTTATGCAATGTGCTCGAAAGGAAAAAAAACGTTAAAATATATCTATAATAATTTTGGTCATTTGTCTTTATGTCCAGCTATGAATGTAGATTTTGTGTCCTGAAAGCTCTGTTCCTGGTCCAAGTACTTTGTATTGTATACGTGAGTCATAATAAAAAAAAAAAAAAAACGAAAGAAGAAAAAAGTAAAGCTGGAATGACTTGCTGTTTCTCTACAACTCTCCCTCATTTTCTACTCCTCCCCTCTTTATTCCCTTTCCCAGCTCTGCAAAGGGCCTATACTGATCTTGCTTTGGGTGGTGGAACTTGGAAGTGGGGTGGAGAGGGCAGGCAAAGCTGGTAGGGCAGGTAACTGGTGGAGGTTAAGAGGAGGGGGAAGAGGGATGTCTACTGGAAAGGAGAAGGAAGAAGGGTTACTTGCTTACACTAGTCTTAATGCCCAACAAGGTTTGTAGGTGCTGGAACCTTAGTGGGAAGATGGGGCTCATGCTTTAGCCCCCTGGTCTCTGGGTTGGGTCTATATAAAGAGTCAGCCCTATGCTTCTCCTGTGACTATGTATGCCATTTCTTTCAGGGTTTTAGAACAAGGGTGAGATGATGGGGTTCTTTTTCTGATCTTTCCATGTCTCCTGCTTGTGGCCACCCCTTAGCATCCAGTACAATGCTACAATCCAGTATAATGCAATAGTGGATGGGGGTGGGGAATGCGTGAGGCTAAAGGTAGCTGCATAGTCAGGAGAGTTTGGCTCAAAAATGCCAAAGGGTGAGGAGGCTTCTGCCTGGGGCAGAGGATAAAGAAAGGACAAATGAGTAAGACAGGGAGTCTGCAACCTGGAATTCAAATTCAACCAGCACAAGGCTATCATGGCTACTCAGTCCCTTCTCTGTCCACTTAGCCTCCGTTTTGGCTATTTCAAACCAGCTCTTGGCTGGCTTCTCTTTGACAATTGAGCAGCTTGCCTGGCCACCACAGTTGGAACTACTGATTTGGGAGGACGGGCCTGCTGAGTGGACAGTCCTCAAGCCCAGTCACAGTAGGGCAAAGGGAATCTTGACATTTTCTAAAAGAAAGAGTTGAACCCAGCTAGTAATGGGATCATTCTGGAGGGTCTAGGCAGACAAATCTGTTTATGCCAATAAAATTCTGCTCAAACCATTCCAAATTCCAGAGATACAAGCTGGCTGGCTCAGCCAGACCAGAGGAAGAGGGAAGGGAGGGTGGACTTCTGGCCTTCAAAAACAGACCACCAAAGAGAGATATTTTTGAGACCAGATCTCTGGGTCAATGTTTTGTAACCTAGGCCTAGGCCAAGTGTTTCATCAGGTTCCCAATCTCTGGCCCCTATAAAAGGGGTTCAAGATTTGTCAAGCGGATTTTCCTAGCCCCACCACCACCAACAACCCTGTCTGTGTGCCTGAAAAGACAGCTTGGGGATAACTTTAAGTAGAACCTGCCAGGAAATCTGTAGGATTTGGGGTCCCTTCTGGCAACCAGGATCCCGTTTGGCTTGGGAGATATGGGATGTTGGCCAGAGAGGCCTGAATACAACATTTCACTTCCCACCAGCCTCTGAGGGACCACAGAGGAAGACCCGTTTCATTTTTTTAATCGTGAAATTATGATTGCTATTGATAAAAATAATAATATCCTGCCCTGAAGCAGAGCGACATGATTCCCTCATCAAATGGTTCTTAAGGGCCTCGCTGCTTCCCCCACACACACACACACCCCGCAACACCAATCCCCCATTCATCCCTGCCCATGCTCAGCAATGTCCATGGCCCCAAGCCGTCGCGTCGGAGGGCGGGGTGCGTCTGGCGCCCGGCTTCTTTGGAAATGTCGGGCAGCCAAAGGGTTAGACCTAAGGAGCCCCAGAGCCCTCTCGTGCGTTGCCCGCTCCCCGCTTTCCCTGCCCACCACTTCAGTTTTCTGGTTTGGAAAGAAAAGGAGGTTAAAAACCCGTTTTATGGGGGAATGTAATTGCGAGAACGGGATGCGCTCTTTAGAAATGCGTGCTCCTAAATGCTGCCGTCGTCCCATTACCGAAATGGGTACCATTCGGTTTCTGCAGATACGACTTTCTCCCATTCTTTACTTTTTTATTAGCCAATCAAAGTGGCTTCCGAAAGCTATTTGTGATTTGTGAAAAATAGTATCTTTCAAAATGCTGAGTTGAAGCATCTCGCTCATTTCGCCTTGGATTTATTATTCTAATCTCAACGGTAGAGACAGGATGATGCAGCTATTAAGTTAGGGGGCAAATTCGTTTCTCGGGATTAAAAAAAAAATCTCCGCACTTTCCTCCCCTACTCTTTCATTGAATGTCTAAAGGAGATGCGGGTCTTGGAGAAATTTGGGCCGCCAAGGGAAGAAGTGTGCCGCTGAGGGGCTCCCAGGGGACCCCATGAAGGAGAGGGTGGGTTGGCCTCCCCAGTTTCATATTCTTAGTATGAGATGCCCCCAGAGAGTGCTTGAAAGTTGAAAAGTTACCCCCCAGCCCCAACTAAAGAGGATTCAGGACAGGTTGTGTGCCACAATCTGGAAGTAAAATTTCCGGTGAGTTGCCGGGCAGTGCTGCCCCATTCTTCCCGCTGCCATTGTGAAAAAGCTGGGCCAGCGCTTCCTCGTCGTAATTTTTAACTACCTGTTATAAAATTTATGGGTGGGTTTGTAAAAGGAACAGGTCTCTGTATCCGGCTGAGGGAACTGCTTTACTTACTATGGAGGAAGTTTTTTTTTTTGGGGGGGGGGAATGAAGGGTCTTCTGTTGGCTGCCTGAGCACCCAGCCCTTGAGATTCCCTTGCCAGCTCAATGCCGATCAAGGGAAAAGCTGCCCGCTTTTAGATCTCCAGTCATTGGGGAGTGGCTGGATTATAGCCTAGCAAATATACTCTACAAGGTAATTTATACTGGCCTCCCCACACTGCACTTACTACCAAAATTGGTGGAGGTCTGGGGAAATGGGGTGCATAGACTTTTGAATAGAAGGCAGAATTCAGAACAGTAAAGAGCTCTCTTATGGGGCCTGCAAACTCTGAAGCCAGATCCCAGCTGCCTAGACACGGACAGAAGTCTTCCCCCCAACCCCTGAAAAAGACAGGTGTGTGGGCAACCTGAAAGGCTGAAAAGGTTTCAAAGAGCCTTGCAATAAAATAAAAAAAGAAAGAAAGAGAGAAAGAAAAGAAAGAAAGAAAGAAAGCTGGACCAAGATCTTCAGCTTTAACATTGTTTTTAATTTTTTTTTTGAGGATTGAAAGTTGCCATTAATATCTAGAAAACAAGATGACCTGAAGCTAGGAATAGTCTTGGGTGCAGGGAGTGTCATTCTGTTTGAGAAAGGAACCACCTGGGCAATGAAAGTAATTTTAAGGCTCCTTGAAGCTGCACAAAACTCTCACCCCTTCTGCTGCCTCCAAAGGACTGCCAAATCCTGGTCCAGGCTCTCCGTCCTTTAGACTCCATCTACGACAGGCTTGGTAGGGAGGGCTGCCAGCAGCCTGAGACTCCAGTTCTTGTTTGATGGGTAGGGAGTGGGGGGCTTGCGTGGGGCACTGCAGTAGAAAAGATGTGTTCTCTTTCTAGAAAACAAAGGTAGGATCAGGGACGGTATTCATTTTCAGTTCCTTCATCTCTCCAGCCTCCATTGCCCCAAGGCTGCAGAGCTCTGCAAAGCTTTGATTTTCATCAGGTCCAATATCATTACCTTCATTTATTAAGAAAAGTATTTAAAATTCGGGACAGCAAGAGAGGGCAGTGGGTCCTCAGCATCTGAACCCTCTTTTCTTCTCTCCCTACATGCCCTGTCTGCTCTTGCTCTGTTAGTCTAGAGCAGCCGGCCTTTGGGGAGTGGGCGGTGGGTGAGGGTGGGGTGGGGGTCGAGGGATGCTCCCTTTCTGAGAGAATTGGGTAAACATGGCGACCGTGGCGCCCATTTGCACACGCTACACAAATGCATCGCATTCCCGGTTGTTTGCAGAAAATTTACAGCTGAGTAATAAAAGTTTACGATCGACTCACAAGTTGGATTGGCCACAAGAAGTCATGTGGATTCCATCCATGAACGTGAACTTTTTATTGTGGTTTGTCCGTTCCGAGCGCTCCGCAGAACAGTCCTCCCTGTAAGAGCCTAACCATTGCCAGGGAAACCTGCGCTGGGCGCTCCGTACATTACCAGAATTTTTTTTATTAATCTGATTAATAATTATTTTCCCTATTTAATTTTTTTCCTTAGGTGGAGTTGCCGGAAGCTGGGGGCACCTGGGGAGGGTGGGGTGGGAGGGGAGAGGCAGAAGTTGAGAGCACCTCTCTCTCCCTATACCCGACCCCTCTGGCCCCCAAGGGGCAAGAGGTTCGCGGGTGTGGGGGCTGAGATCTGGAGCTGCAGATGCCTCCACCCCTCCCCTCTCCCAGATTCTCCCTCCTGCCTCTTCCCTGCAACTTTCCTTAATTTTATTTGGCTTTTTTTTTAAATCAGGACTTTTTATTTATTTTTAAATTTATATAAAGTATGTGTGTGTGTGTGGAGCTGAGACAGGCTCGGCAACGGCACAGAATGAGGAAAGACGAGGAGAGAGACAGAGAGTGGGAGAGAGAGAGAGGCAGAGAGAGAGAGAGAGGGAGAGGGAGAGTGACAGCAGCGCCCGGTAAGTGTTTCCTTATTGGTTCAAATATGTAACTAATGGTCCGTAGCTGGGTGGCGGTTTCAAGATAAGGACAGCAACGCCTTGTCTTGGTTAGAGAGAAAAGGGGGCTGGTGAGAGGGTGGGCGCGAGGGTAATTAAGGGGCGGTAAAATGGGAGGATGGGGTTAAAGCAGAAATCCTGGTAGTGGGGAGAATGTGTTGTCCTGACGTCGCTTTGCGCCGAAGTTGGGGTCCTGGGCGGGAGAATATTGGCCCGCGGGATGGAAGTCCCTGGTCTGGGGCGTGGGGGCCCTCGGCCTGATGCCCACAGTGTCTGTACCTGCTTAATTAGCTAACTACTCTTGGCTGATGGAACTGGGATGTGGTGGCCTGGAAGCTCAAACTTCAAGGCAGGAGAATCTGTAGTCTGGGCCCATTGCCCCCTAAGCAACGTCAGCTCCTCAACCCCCAAACAAACTTTCCAGAGCCCCCTCCCTGTCCGGCAGCCCCCTCCTTCTCGGAGAGCTAGAAGCCAGGCCTCACACATGCGCAGTGTGAGCCCAGGGCCGGGCCGCGGAGCAGGAAGCGGGCGCAGCTAGGCGGGCGGCGGAGCCTGTTAATTGGCAATTAGGGGGGAGGCTGGTGGCTGGTGCGCGTCAGCCAAGGGGAGAGAGTCTGCCCACCCCTGCTCCCGCCCCCACCCTGGCGCACAGGAGGGTGGGAGGCGCCCTACGCTGCGGGTAGAAGGAGTAGGGGGTGGGGATGCAGAGCTCAAAAGCCATTTTGTGCTCGGAGAAAAGCGGCCTAAATGCTTACCCCTCTTGTGGGCCCGGCGCCCCCACCCCCACTTGCGGCCACTCCACTCGGGATGCCACTCCAACTTTCTCCTGCGTCTTGCAGGACTGCTCTAGATTAAGACCTGCCTTGTCCCGGTGGAGGTGGGGATGAGAGAGGCCTCCGGTTGGGCGGGGATAGACCAGGCCGTGCCCCCAAGACCTCGAGGGTGCTACAAGGCCCCGAGTGTTTATGGGTGGGGTGGGCGAGTTTCCCTCGGTAAGGGCGTCAGACTAAGGTGGTGGGTAGAGTCCTGGATCTTCTTAATAATTGGTGCTAATGACGTGTTGTATAATCTTAACCTGACACATAGGGTTTCATAACATAGTAGCTTAATTTCTTCCAAATGTACGTGGCCCTGACTGCATTGCAGTTTGATATATGACCCCGCCCTGCTTTCAGGCTTGGGTCTGAGGCGACCCTGTTAGTGAGAGATTGTGTTTATAAGGAGCGGCGTGCACAGAGAATGCTTACACACCCAAACAGACACCCCTTAGAGCTGGGAAGGCGGCAAGCTCCTGCCGAGGGACCAGACACTAGGAGACAGACTCACACCTTCAGTCTGCGTCCATCTCACCGCCCCCCCATCTTCTCCCAGAAGCTCGTCAGAGAGTCTTCGCCCAGCAGTGTGGGGGAGGGGATAGCTGGATTTCCTGTTTAAACCCAGACCTATTGCCTGCGGGTGGGGGGCGCGCAGTGGTTAGAGAACCCGTTTTTATGAAATTGTTAAAAAAAATACAGTTCGATTTCATTCAAATCAAATCCTTTGAGCTCGAGCCTATGGTGAATCCTCCCTCCCATCCCCCCCCCCAACCACCTTCCCTTCTCCAGCCCCCCCAAAATTCCCCTTTTGCAGTCGACATAAAGGCCTCTGAGGTATTCTCTCGGGGAAAGAAATGGCATTTTCTCTCCCCTTTCCCACCCCACCCCCCAATAGGACTGGTGTGTAGGCAGAGGCGTCTGCCGAGGGGCTAATTTCGCGTTCCTTGTTTACGACCAAGAAAAGCGCTTGGCTCTTCCCAAATGGGCCCAGCCTGCCGCCTGCTCCGGCTGCCGCGCACTCTCCCGCCCGAGCCTGGCCCCCAGGCGGATGCCTGGGGGTACGAGGCTATGGCTGACCAGGACGGGGGGTCTGTGGGACCTGAAAGGGGCCAGGGGAGTGCGCTGAGACAGTGGAGGGGCCCTGGAGGCCCGAACGGGAGCCTTCTCCTGGCGTACTGTGGGAACCGCCGATCGGTGAGGCCGCTATTTCTTTCTTCAGCCTGTATTTTGTCGGACCCTGTCCCTGCGGATGGCCGCAATGACGTGGGAGGGGATGTTTGGGGGACACAAGTCTCCTTTGTTCCACCCCAAAAGAAAACCATTTTTGGAGAAGGCTGTTCAGACTAGTGTGGATTCACCTGGGATGTTAGAGGCCCCCTCCCATCCGAGGGGCGGGTCTGGGCTAGGATGGGGTATTTCTCTAGGCCTACAGGGGATCTAACTGGATGTGCTAATAGCCATATCGAGGTGCTAGGGTGCGAGAGTACCTGTCAAAAACACCAGCTTGAGGTGTCTTTATATTTTTATTGATTTCCTGCTCCTTCTTGGCTACAATCCTGCAGCTCTTACTCTCCCACCCCCAACTTTATCCTAAACCTTTCACCCCTAGACCCCTCTTTGGCAAGCCTAGGAGCAGAACGCCAGTGACTGGCCCCAGTTTTCCAGTTTTCAAGTCTGGCCAGGGGATAAACCAGATCTCAACACATCAGCGTACTCCGCTCGCCAGTTACTTTCACTTCTCTGCCCCTTGATTCTTTCTCTTTCTGGTGCTCCAACAGAAGCACAAGAGGGGCCATCAGTGGCAATCCTCAGCCTTCTTGCAAGCCAAATTCTGCGTGGATGTGGTTCCTCACTGCAGGAGAGCTCTTCTGATTATCTAATAATAGCCAGTGAGGCCAAGAATAGAATTTTGCTCAAGGGCTCTGCATACTCAAGGCTGAGGCCTACCTAGGCGGTCAGTCACTGGATTCTATGGATCAAGGTTTGGCAACCTCCCCAGAGCCCGGGACTCAGAAGCATTCCCTCTGAGCTCACTTTTTGGGCACCCTCAGGCCTGCCCCTTAAGAGGTTTTGTAAACTCTGCTATCCGTTGTATTTCAGTCTAGGTTCCTAGGAGAAATGGGCAGAATAAACCCTTTCTCTTCTCGCCTCTTGTCTGACAGCTGTGATCCCTACAGAATTTGACCTTGGTTTGAAAAAGGCAACCTTGTTGGGCTGACTGTTGTGTTCTGGAACCAGGCTTGGTGGAATTATATATTTATTATATAAAGTCTCAAATATACAGATTCAGAGGCAGGGAGAAATATATAGAGACTCATATTTCCTTATGGTTAAATGTTTACTACCATGGTTATATTTGATAAACACCGTTTTATGTGCATGCGAAATTTTGTTAGCCTTTACTGGCTGAGAGTGGGCTAGGGGAGCAATGGGCTGGAGGAGAAGGCCCTCTGTGCATGTCTGCGGAAATGTGTGTGCTGGAATTGGAGTATGCGGCTTCCAAAAATCTAAAGAAGCCACAGGCTTTGGCTCATTGCTTTTGCCTGAAGCATACTACACCCTTCTGCCGTCTCTCCTCACCTCTCTATGAAGTCTGCCAAATCACAGGCTCTCTTCCAAAGAGAACCCAGTCATCTTGAAAACGAAATCTGTGGGTTCTTTCATGGTTGTTGTGAGTCTGAAAGCAGTTCTGAATCACCAGGACTGGGCCCTGGAGGCTGGAAGCCTCCATGTGCATGGGCAAAGGGATTGTAGTGGCTAACATGATTTCTGAGTCTAGGTGGCTGCGGGCCAAGGTGCTTAAAGAGGTTTGTAGGGAAGGAAAACCAGGAGAGGCAAGGATACCGCCTGTGAATAACTCTCCTTCCTTTTGCCTTCCTGGTTCATTACCTCACCCTAGATTTGCCTGTCTGTAAGGGCATATTAGGAGTTCTGGAAGGTCCTATAAATACCCAGATCTGGAGACTGATTGGGGTGCATTTTAATCTTGTCAGTGACCTGAACCAATGTGAAGACCACTAAGAGAAGGCTAGTGGAGGCCCCTCTAGAATGCAAGCTGGGCCCATTGGCCTGTGGGGCTGGAGCCCTAAGTATGGGCCTCGGCTAGGAATTAATTGGCCTCCTTTTGCAGCTTTTCTGGGGCCACGAAAAGACAGAGCTGAGAGGAAATAAAATGTCAGTAGAAAGCCCCATAAATGAAAGAGTGGACAAGAGGAGTGCTGGATGAGGTTTTGTGCTGCTCCCAAGACACTCGGGTTCCTGCCCAGACTTGTGACTCCAGGGGATTCTCAGCCTTTCTTCCCTGTTTCTTCCTCAGCTATAGAGGGTGTGACAGAGTAGCTCAGGCCTTCCTGCTCTAGCCACACCGACTTTGGGGTGACATTACCCCAGGATCATGTCTCTCAAGCAGCCCATGGCCTCTGTCACGGCGCTATCAACCGCCCCCTGTTTATTGTGTCTGCGTGTTGTTTACTTGTTTTGTCTGCTGCCACCCTGCGTCAGAAACTCAACAAACCAGCAAATTCGCTCGGGAGAACAAAGTGCAGGGCTCTTTCAAACTCCCTCCCCCTTTCGGCACCCCTACCTCCTGCCCTTAATGTGCTTCCTCATTTTCCCTTTCTGAGGGGAGGAAGCAAGCAGAAATTGTCCTAAAATAGGGCCGATGTTTATGGGACAAGGGAATTATGAAGACACCATAAACCTCCGGGTGTCCTAGTGTTGAGGAAACTCCCAAACCCCCCTTCTACAGCATTTCTTCCTTTGCCTTGGTAAACAGTTGGGTAAGGGGGCCACAGACCCTGAGAACATTTCAGTGCCCCTTCCCTCCTCCTTTCCTCATCCTCGTTCCTCCATTCCTTTCTTCCTGAGTTTCTCTCAGTCATAGGTGGTTGGGTTTTCTGTCAGGGTAATGTTGGTGGGTTCATAAAGCTAGATAAAGCATACTACCTTCCCTCCCTTTATCTTTTCAGTCCCCCCAAATAGCAGTGAATTTAAGCAAATCCTACAAAATTAAATTACCCGTCCTGTAAGGGTCCTATAAATCCCCAATCCTGCCAGGTGTAGAGTCAGAGAGGTCAATGTTTGCCTTTAATTTTGCTCCTGGCTATCAAATCTAAACTAGTATCATTGCAATAAGTAATATTCTTA